GGGGGGGGGGGAAGCATAGAGAGGAGAGAGGGTGATATCCTTCACCCTCGTAACACTAGGCACTATGTTCAGTCCCATTTTAGGAATGAGAAAACTGACGCTGAGGTAAGAACTTGGCTTCAGGTTCCAGAGCCAGCTGGAGAGCCCACACTTACGCAGGACAGACTGACAACAGGCACCGCGCCCCTTCCCTATCTACTGGGAGGAAATCCGTGGGCCCAGCTTGTGTGAGTCCAGGGAGGAGCCAAGCTCAGGTTAATGCCTCAGGGAATTCTTGCCCCCACAGTCACAGAGGCTTAGAGTATGATTTAATTTGATTTAATTACTTTTATGACAAAAAAAAAAAGATGTGACCTTTGCATATCAGACTTTATGGTCTAAGATGATTCTCACATAATAATCAACAGGCAAAGGTATTCTAGGTGAAACAGAGGCCAGAGACCCATTTTGATCTTGTCTAGATTTTCTACATTATTGTCTGATCATTCAAAAATATATTTCAGTGCTTCTGCTATGCTTTTCGGTAGAGCTGGGAACAGACTCCGGTCCCCTGATTCCGAGTTAATATCTCCCCTTGGATGCTGGACTGTCATCATCTGACCCAGACAGGAAAGAATCCACACAAGTCTATTCCCAAATCCACAAAACTTCAGCTGATTTCTCAGCTTGCTTTTTTCCCTTGTTATTCTGCTTAGAAAGACACTTTATTATGGCCCATTTTCTTTTTTGTACTTGGATAACTTTGAAATGACTGCTTCCCAACATTTCCTCGGAAGTACCCCTAACAGCAAGGGACAGCGGCCGTACCCAGGTGCGTACTCAGGGGAACTCCATTCCCAGTCCAGCGTTTCTTTAAAGTTGAACAGTTTATCTTAAAACCTCAGGCCCTGTCTGCTAATCGCGCTAACGATGACAGCTGAAGCTTACCGAATCCTTACCAAGGGCCAGGCCTGTGTTAGGTGCTTTACATTTGTTACCCTGTGAAATCCTCACAGCGACCGTATTAAACAGGTGTTAAATACATTAACGTGTTTAACACGGTCCTCATTTTGCAAGGGAAGAGACTGCAGCACAGAGAGGGTAACTAAATAAGACAAAGTCACACAGCTGGCAAGGAGAGAGACTGCATTCAAACATGGGCAGCCAGCTTCAGGGCCCAGACTGTTAATTTTTGTGCTCCAGAACATTCACATTTATACCTGGGCTGGGACTGGTCTAAAACAGTGTCAAAATTGCACCCCAATCTTGTTCATGCCAGGACAGTAGCCAATCTCTGGAGACACTTGTGGTTGTCACAAAGGTGTGTGTGTATTACTGGCACCTAGTGGGTAGGGGCGAGGGATGATGCTATGCCTACATCCCCTAATGCACAGGGCAGCGCCCACAACAAGGAATTATCTGGCCCAAGTGCCAGTGGCACCAAGGTTAAGAAACCTTGGTCTAAAAGTATTTTAAATTACTTATTTTTATTTCTAAAAACTGCTTCAAAACATTCCATGTTATCCTGTGTCCCCTCAAACGTCACAATTCTGAAAGCCCATCTGGGAATCTCTGGGCCTCCACATGTGTGCAAGTGACAAAATGTCATGGGGTTTTCCAATGTCCCGAGACTTTAATGGCAGAGCCTCTTTGTCACCTACCTTCTCTGACCGGAGGGTGAACAACAGATGGAGTTTTCCTTCTTTAGCCAACAACAGTAAAAGGATGGAATATTTACTAGGCGGCAAGTGAGAATATTTGGTCCCAATGTCATACTTTTTTAAGCGGGCCTTAGCATCATCTATCAAACTGTTCCTAAAAGGGAAACAAACCAAACATTATAGTACCAGCATTGAGGTAAAAATCTCCTTGTCCTGCCTATGTGTCTGCTTTGTTGTGTATCTTGAGGTTTACCATTTCTGAGTCTCAGTGTACTTTTCAATAACGTGGCAGAAACAATAATTCTCAAATCGCATGATTTTTGGCAAGATAAAACGAGGCAAACACTACAGTAGCCCCCCCTTATCTGTGGTTTCACTTTCCCCGGTTTCAACTGCCCGTCGTCTACCTCCGTCCAAAAATATTAAATAAAAAATTCCAGAAAGAAACCATTCTTAAGTTTTAAATTCTGCCCTGTTCTGAGTAGCGTGATGAAATCCTGCGCTGTCCAGCTCCACCCAGCTGGGACATGAATCATGCCGTTACCCAGGTTATCCAGGCTGTACATGCTACCTGCCCATGACTCCCTTGGTGGCCTTCTTGGTGATCAGATACTGTTGCAGTATCGCAGTGCTTGTGTTCAAGTCACCCTTATTTTACTTAATAATGGCCCGAAAGCACAGGAGTAGCGATGCTGGCAAGTCAGCCATGCCAAAGAGAAACCGTAAAGTGCTTCCTTCCAGTGAAAACGTGAGTCCAGTTCAATAAATGTTGAGAGAGAGAGACCACAGTCACATGACCTTTATTACAGCATATTGTTATAATCCTTCTATTATTGTTGCTAATCCCTTACTCTGCCTAATTTATATTTAAACTTTTTCATAGGTATGTATGTGTAGGGAAAATCATCACAGGATATACATGGTTCAGTACTATCTGTGGTGTCAGGCATCTACTGGGGGTCCTGGCACGTTTCCCCCATGGGTGAGGCGGGGAACTGTGCACTAAGAACGCGGTTTAGTATACAAGTTCATTTGAAAACGAAATTAAATTTAAATTATGGTAAACTTTTTTTTTTTTAACAATGCAAATAGTTAATGGTTGAAATCCATAATTCTATTCAGGTAAGGCACGTTAGCTGAATAAGCGATCGTAAGGTTAGACTATCATCAAGTTAAAAGGACTTTCTCTTAACCTAGCCCTTACGTCATGCTATCAAGCATTCCATTTGCTGTCAAATATTCAACTGCCTTACCACAGTGAATCCCAAACCTCACCAGCAACAGAGTCACCAGGAGGACTTCCTACCACACAGATGGCTGGGCCCACCCAACACCCTGACTCACTAGGTTGGGGGTGGAGCCTGAGAGTTGGCATTTATACCAAACTCCCAAGTGAGGGTGATGCTGCAGATCAGGGGAACAAGCTTTGAGAAGCATTCCCTGCTGATATGACCACCAACGGTACCCTGAATCCATGACTGTGAATTTGTTTCGGTCCTTTTGAAAGGTGTATTTTGTTGCTGGTTTGTGTGGCGGGTTCAACACTGTCCCCCACAAAACTGCAAATGTGACTTTACCTGGAAAGAGAATTTCTGTAGATGTAATTAGTTTAGGACCGAAAAAAAATCATCCTGGCTTTAAGGTGGGCCTTAATTCTGATAACTGGTGTCTTTATAAAAAGAGGAGAGGACACAGATTAGATACACACACAGGGAAGGTGGCCATGTGAAGACGGGGGCAGAGACTNTTATAAAAAGAGGAGAGGACACAGATTAGATACACACACAGGGAAGGTGGCCATGTGAAGACAGGGGCAGAGACTGGATGTGACGGGGCCCTAAGCCAAAGAACACCGGGAGCCACCAGAGGCAGCAACAGGCAAGAAGGACCCTCCCCTGGAACCTTCAGGGGGAGAACAGCCCTGCCAGCACCTGGATTTACTTCTAGCTTTCAGAACTGTGAGAGCATAAATTTATGTTTTTAAAGCTGCCCGGTTTGTGGCACTTTATGGTTGACAACCCAATAAATTAAGAGCTTAATTTTTCTATGGGAAAGGCAGTTGTGCATACTAGGCAAAAGCAGATGCCTCAGTCAGCGAGAACTGGCTTCAGGATGTTTAGGGATGACCTCTGTGGGTTCCCCTTCCCTCCTCTGCGACATGTTTGGAAAGGTTTAGGACTGGATGACATAATTCATGCGCCGTGGCTGGTACTCGGCTAGTGGCCTGGGAACGGTGGCCGCCGTCACACATGCCCCGTCGTTAAATGAGCAGCTGTTTGCGGGAGGTGCTGGCATTTTATGCCTCTTTCTACATGGCACGGGGCTCACTAAAAGGGGTTGGATAAAGGCAGTGACCTGCAGAACCGACCAAAAGGCTTGAAAAAAGAACCACGGGGTGCTGGGGGCTCCAGGGAGCCTCCCAAGCACCCAGGCCCGCACCCAGGAGGGGAGCCTGTCCCCGCCCGGTGAGAACGGACCGGACCCCAGAACTAGGCAGAGGGTCGGCGCTGCAGAGTCTGCAAAACGCGCCTGCCCGCAGGGAGGGGCTGCTCCTCGGAGTGACCACCCTGAAAAGCACCAGCAAGTGGCA